ATCCACAGTTCTAAAACCTTTATATTTATAAGAATTTTTCCCTGCGTCGACTGAAGGTTTCAGAAGACTTTAACGACTTCAAGTTGGAAGGTAGTGAGCTTATGACTATGAGTTTAATTAGGATTCATTTGCATTGCAATCGAGTGGAAATTATCAGCGTTTGGCAGACGAGAAATATTCATAGGGCAATGCATGCCAAGTGGATCGGGAATCGTTTTGTATGAGAATACGTAAGAAGCAACAAGTATGTTTAAAAAAATTCAAAGTTTGAGAAGTAGAAGTATACAGTTAACATCTGTTTTTGAAGGTAGCTGAACATTTGAAGATGAAGGATACAGGATCTTAATTAAACGAGTTTGAATAATTCGGGTTTTATCATTTGACGAACGAGCAAAGAGTTATTTATTCAAGTTACGTAATCGGAGGAAATCGAGCCTAGCGGTGGCTCTGTAAATGTTGGCCAGCCTGGCAGAGTATCGTGAACGTTGATCGTTCCAGCGTAAGAGGCAGAAAATTCGATCTCCGGACGGTATATAAAAGTATCATTAACAATGAGCGAGCCTCAATCGAAGAAAGTCAAGATGACGACGAGTTCGTTGGCACAGCTGAAGGAAATCACGACAATAGTCGCCGATACCGGTGACTTCCAAGGTGAGTAAATAGAAATATTCTAATCCGACGATTTCGCATCTAACGCACACGCACACATACATGTGGTCAAAGGCGAAGGTCATGCTCGGCTACACTCGCAGGGGGGAAATTCCAATTCGGCGCACTTTTTATTTGCCGTTTAAACAGTTGAAATTCGTCTATGCTGTACAAAAATAGAACGTTTGGCAAGAAAACGTGAAAATCTCTATATTTATAAACATTTGCATATGCATATATATACGCGTTGTAAATATAAGAATAATATTATTACGATTTCCGGGAAACGTAACTCTTAATTTATAGTTTCAATCGCGTTACGCGGACAGTGGTAGGGGATAATTACAAAACCTTCCGATCTTACGATCGATACTTTTTTTTAGCTACTACACGCTATTTTTATGTAATAAATTCAATTCTCATTTTGTCAGATACCTCGAACACTATAAATTATAATTTTGTGTAATATTATTAGAAATATTCTTAGTTCTTAGTTTCGTTTCAATCAATCAACAATTATTGTCTTTAGTAGTCGTTAGGTAATACTTAATTGAACAAGAGAATTTTCTGCTTATCATACAATGTAATATAGAAGCTATGCGAGTTCTAGCATGACCCGCAGATATTAGAGATGGCCTCTAGACTATATATTTATATCCCATCGAATTAATCTACCATGTAAACGAAATAGGATAAACCTATCGTCCCTATCTTATCATTGCTATGTTGAATATTTTCAGCTATGGAACAGTTTAAACCGATAGACGCAACTACAAATCCTTCTCTGATCCTTGCAGCAGCTAGTCAAAAAAAGTATGCTCATTTAATAGATAAAGCTGTGCAATATGGAAAAAAATCTGGACCGTAAGTATATTATTAATTATTAATACAGTGAGCAATAAAAGTTTATTGTCATTTTCTAACTTATAATTTTCATTATATATTTTTCAATATTTACATGGAACACGCTTTAATAATGTTTATTTAATAATATTCAAGAGAAGCAAACTGTTAATTACAGAGCACAGCTTATTCTGCTATGATTAACATGTACATAGATACTTTTGTTTTAATAAATAGGATTCGTAGATGTAGAATCTGTTATATGGTAAAAGTTAATTGAAGATATTATAGGAAAAATGATATACATGGTATCGAGAAGTATAAAGGAATCAGAGAAAGTTAGTAAGAAAAATAAAAGGAATTGTGAAGCAGAAAATGTTAAAGGAAAGAAAGGATTTGCCTGATGTAATGGTGGTATTAATTAAATTGATATAATCACTTTAATCCTCTAATTATTTTTTCAATCGAAAGAAACGATCTACTTGTGAATTGAATTATTTGTTTCAGCACTTTGGCGGAACAGCTCGAAAACGCATTGGACATCACGTGTGTCCTGTTCGGTAAAGAGATTTTAAATATCATACCCGGCAGGGTTTCCACAGAGGTGGACGCCAGACTGTCTTTCAATAAGGAAGCCAGCATCGAGAAAGCGAAACGGTTAATAGCTCTGTACGAAGAGCTTGGCGTGAGCAAGGATCGCGTGTTGATCAAACTCGCCTCTACATGGGAGGGCATTCAAGCGGCCAAGTAAATTGAATAATAATGCATAGTTAACGATCTATTTAAAGACTCGATCTCAAACGATGATTTACTTGAACAGGGAATTGGAGGAGAAATATGGAATACACTGTAATTTAACGCTTTTGTTTTCCTTCGCGCAAGCCGTGGCCTGTGCAGAAGCGGGCGTAACGCTCATATCGCCGTTCGTTGGTAGAATTTTGGATTGGTAAGATCTCGCGATTTTCAGCGATACATTTGCTTCACATGGTTTGTATTTATTTAAATTTGTTTAGGTACGTCGCGAACACCGATAAGAAGAGTTACGATGCCAAGGAAGATCCAGGCGTCGTCTCCGTGACCAAAATATTCAATTATTACAAGAAGTTTGGATACAAAACGGTCGTCATGGGTGCTTCGTTCAGAAACGTCGGTGAGTCTACATCTACAATTCATTCTATTTCCCTCTTAGAAAAATCCTAAATAAGTTTTTCATTACAGGCGAGATTAAAGAACTGGCCGGTTGTGACTTTTTGACTATAAGCCCGAAACTGTTGGAAGAATTAGAAAAGAGTAACGAACCGATCCGCAAAGTACTTGCGTCCGAAGTGGCAAAGAAATGCGATCTACAGAAAATTAGTTTAAACGAAGCCGAGTTTAGATGGCTCCTCAACGAGGATCAAATGGCGACCGATAAGCTGAGCGACGGGATCCGTAAATTCGCGGTGGACGTTCGCAAACTGGAAAAGTTGTTGCAAGAAAAAATCCAGTCTTAAATGTGTATAAGCGAAATGTCTATGTAATGAATGTTCTATTGTAAATAACACAGCGCAGAGATGATGATTCGAATAACAAGCTTTAGTTGTATGTGCAACGCATTCCACGCTTTGTAGGTATCATGTATAAATTTGTGTCGTAATGTTAAATAAATGTGGGATCTGAGGGAATCTTGATTGTTATACTTTGTACCTTGCCTGAAACTTTTACAAGAGTAGATTTTCTATTCGAACGTGAAATCCTATTTAGACGGACGGAAATAAGAAGAATTGATGGAAGCTAGTATAATTTAAATTCTTAAATGATCCAATGAGGAACTGCTTGCAGCGAATTCTGTGCTCGATAAAACAGGGGAAAGGAGAATCGCGTGGGTAGTGCTGCCACCGAATGCTGGAATATTTAAATACGGAGCGTGGCCCTCGCTAGCCTCTGTTCGGCTTTTCAAACCGTACCAGCAGGCGCATATCGATTCTAGCGCGAGAAAGTCAACCGTCAGCTCCGCAGCACGAGAGCGGTCTCTTGGTTACGTCTCCTTCGTTTAAAATAGTCTGTTATAAATAACAGTTAACATGGAATCAGCTATTGTACATCTCGAGCAAAGCGTAAGCACGATTTCTCATCATTTCCGGCTTGTTTCGTCCAAATGACATTTCATACTTTTCATGAATTTTCTATTTGCAAAAGTCAAACGGCGGATTCTCGTAAATAATAACAAGTTAACGTTTGAACCGATCGTTCTTTGTTACAGGTTCAGAAGGCCGATGGGAAGCTGGACATGATCGCGTTTCAGATTGACGCTTTCGAGAAGGATTTTGGAAATCCAGAAAGCGAGGTATGTCTCATTGTTTCCAAATCATCAATTAAACTTTTGCAATCGTTTATTTATTAGTTCAGATTTGAATGAAAATCATTAGTTAGCATAAGAAGTGATACGTTCCAAGCGTCAGTTAAATCGATAATAAAATGATCATTTAGTCAGCAAAGAAATCAACAACGTGGCTTGTTCGGCGAATACATTAACTGAATGAAGGTCGCTTCTTTTATTTTTATATTTTTTCTTATGCTTTTTAACAGATCTCCGTGAGCCGTCTATTACGTTCTGTTCACCAAGTTACCAAAGATTATCAAAACCTTCGACAAGAGATATTGGAGGTTCAACAGTTGCAAAAGCAACTTTCAGATTCGCTTAAAGCGCAATTGTCTCAGGTGCACGGACACTTTAATTTACTGCGCAACAAGATCGTAGAGCAGAACAAAAATCTGCAGCTAAAATAAAACTAGAACTATTAGCTATCTTTCAAGATTCATTTCTTTCTCAAGCTTTTGTTTTTTAGAACGTACATGTATTTATAGTACTTGTATACTGTGTGACAGCATGATAATATCTACGTTTCAATTACATTTCATTACCAACGTGTAATCCATAATTCTCATTGTTCAAATTATTTACGTGTTAATGTAATTAATCAAAATGATCACAATAATATTCTCTCGAGGAGGGGAGAACGTTTGAAGTAAGCATAAGCTTCCCATAGTTATTTAGTTATAAAAATTACACTTTTTACCTAGTGAATAACGTACGATTATATATTCGCTATAATCACCCTGTAGAAATAGTCCAACTATTCTTACATTCTAAATATACATCTGTATAATCGAGAAGTATTCTTTATAATCAGTAAGCGATCGCTCCGAATTTCGGGACACCGTTCGTCTATACACGAACGAGGTTTGTTATGGTTTACAAATAATTTCATTTCTGTATGTATAGAGTACGAAAAATGGTGAGCATATTTTATGACACAAGTGTGAGAGCCAGGGGTTGTTAATTAGAGTACGAAAAATGATTGCCTTAAGAGGGAGATGTGCGTTCGCTCGTGAGTTACGCGAGATTGCAGACTGTAACGCGACAACGAGGACGCGATATAAACGTAAAATTCGTCGGATTTGTAATCGATGAAAAATTAGAAACAAGAAATGAAGAAGAATTTGATTAATTAAAATAGATTGTCTTCGAGGACTCACGGTTTGCATACTAAATATACACTCTGAAAGTGTATTTTAATATTTAAAAAAATATTGATAAAGGATATTGAATATTCGGTTTTTATAATAATAATGAATATCGCGTTCGGCGTATTTGCGTTACGCTGGAGTTACATTTATCTATACGTACGATGTAACACGTTATTTGATAATGCAAAAACTGAAGCAACTTTCAAAGCTGCCTTCCTCGAGTCTTTCGCCTCAACGAAGTTGCAGGCGTTCAAGAAAAATCAGATTCGACAGATTCCATATTTCGAGAAATTAATATTTTAAGGATGTATTGGCTATACAGTCAATCCCAAAA